TGAAAAGAAATTCCTTAATTTCCTATTTTTATATTATGTTATATAGGGAATGAATCTACTATTTTTTGACTATCAGATTTAACAGCAACAACAGTGAACAATTAGTGACTAGATTTGCTATTTTTTTCCTGGCGCGTGACTTTAATTTGAACATCAGAATTCTGATGGTAGGGCCTACAGGATGGAGACATAAACTGCTACCAGGGTCTGGGAATCCTTAAAGGGGAGATCAGGAGAGAAGAGGCCAAGAGGGTCCTCTTCCTTACTCCTGTAGAATGCGCAAGCAGAGTGACGCACACCTCTGCCCTCATCCATGGAGACAAAGGGGAGAACAAAAGAGGGCAGGAATTCAGATTTTTTCTCCTTTGATTTTATAAAATTATATTGTCTCCACTATATGACCTCAAAATGAAATCTAAGCTTTCCCTAGGGAGCAGAGACAGAGCAGAAAAAGTTATTTATCTGGGAGCTGCAGGCCTATCGACTCAAGATAGGACGAAGAAAGGAAAATGCTTGATATTTTTTACAAATACAAGCATTACCCAATTTGCACGGACAAACCTTTAAAGTCACTTTATTTTCCTAAGTCTTGGCATATATTTCTTTGTTTTAAAATACTGGAAATATATTTTGTTGCAAATAGTAAATGAATAGGTCTAGTCAAAAGAAGAAGTTAATGTGCAAACTGAGGAGCTTACACTGGTGAGTGATCTCCTTAAAAAAAAATTAGTATTTCTGTTTCCCAGTTAGAGGAGAAGAAATCATTTTTAGCTCTTCTCATGCTTTAAAACACATTTTCTGACTCTATTAGTGGATTCAGGTTTCAGGGGCATTATAATAATTCGTGGAGCTGGTGTAAACAGTGGGGATTTCCATATCTAGTAGCTGCTGAAGTGGCTCAGTCATGACTCTGGGAAAGTCATCCTGGCTCAGAGTGTTTTCATAAAGATCTGATCCCCATCAAACACCTTTAATGAAAATCTTTCCTAAATCATCACATGCCATCAATGAATATTTACTTAGGGTCCATTTGCAAATGAATCTGCCCCGGATAGTTTTTAAATAGGTTGAGCAGCTGTGATCCGTACTACCTGCTGGAAATTTACAGTAAATAAGAGCCTGGGGATAAAAGAGAAACAGCCCCAAGCAATTTTTATGCAAAGACAAATGATACTTTAATTGGCAGTCTTTTGATTGGATCTGAAATGCTGTGGCCTTTTAATTTTAAATGGCAAATGCAGACTCAGGTGTCGCAGATACACTAATAAAGAGACAATCTTGTATCCTCAGATAAATGCTTGGGAGCCCCTGTTTGACTGTCATTTAGGATATATAGCAGGCAGGGCAGGAAAACCAAAAGAGACCTGAAGCCTGCACATTCTAGTGCCTTGCAGGGTGTTTTTTCCATTAGATGTGGTGGGAATACTCATGATGGACATTGCTAAATAAAGATTTTAGCTGTATGGGTGGTGATTTGATGAAAGCAGGCACTGAATCTTCTGCTTTGCCCTGAAGATGTTTGGGCCTTGGTGACAAAAGAATCAGTTCCACTTATCACCTCCCAACTTGGCTCCTTGGGTAGAAAAATGTGGTCTTGGTAATGAGTAAATACGGCAGAATTCAAGTTTTATAGGACATGAAATTTATCGTTTGGGGATCTTCTTTAAGAAAAAGAATCAAATATATTGCTTCTAGAAATGAAAAAAAATTGATGAAGGTGTGAAAGTATTGGACAGGACAGTCCTCCTAGGCTTTGGACAGGACAGTCACAAAGCAAAGGCACTGAAATTCAAGCTTCATTATCTTCCAGGTTAAAGCTCCTTTTGTTTCTGGCATACTTGGGAAGGTTATGGTATGGAGACAATTTCCCTATTCCTCGATATTTTAGAGTCCCAGGTTAAGCTGCTGATTCATTCACTATGTGTGGTCTGTAATGTTATAATATGTCTGCAATATTGCCTAAGGCATTGATGTAGTCTCATGATTGGCTGCAAATGTGCTCACCCACAGTTTAAATTTTTTAAGTATGGCCAATTAGTGCCCTTGTGTCCTCCGCAGGATAAAACAAAATAAAACAAAATGTTAGATGAGAAGTAAAATCCAAAATGTCTATGTACTTAAGCTTGAAAGAATCTGGCAAAAGAGGAGAAAAATGCTCCTGGATATTTGGATATGAGAATATTGGAAAAAGTCATTACTGGGTGTTTGAAAGCTTTCAAAGAAAACACAGAAATAAAAGGAAGTGAATAGCTATCTAAATCGTTGGGCTTTAATAATAAAACTATTTTTCAGTAAAATGCTATCCAATGCACTGTAGTTTGTGTTCACGATTGAAATTCTGGTTTAGCTCCTGTGAAATAAAGATGAGTTTTACTGAATTCTGACTGATGAGATAAATCATTATTTTGTCATCACAGGTTATGGGTCTTGAAGAACAGGTTATCTTTTATTATTTGGTTTTTTAAAAAGAATAATGCTTTGTAACAGCAGTAGTGGAATGGAAATAAAATGGTTTAGAAAGAAAAACTGTTACATATCCCTTGTTTTGTATGAGTTTCCTATAAGTGATGATCGGCCAACTACAATTGGCCGAGATAAAAGTAAATTACATCTTTTCCAAATTCTCAGTTTCTAGCTATGTTTATGAGATTGGAGTAGGTATGGCTCAGTTTAGAACTCAAAGATAGTTCTTCCTTGTATATAGGCTTCCTTCCAAAAGCAATGGTCATAACAATATCATAATAATTATGATGGCGAAGATTTATCGGATTAGTATAATAGGCCTGTGAAGTGGATGCAATCTTTGGTGCCCTGACTAGATCCCTTTTATGAGGTTGGTGAACCCAATCCCAGATGCTGAGGGTGTTGGCTGATCGGAGCTCAGAGCTGCACTCTTTTCTGGAGGTTGGCTTTTGACTGATAAGAGCCAACTTGCCTGGAAATGCCTGGGAGGCCCATAGGCCAATGACTGGCTAACGTGGGACTGAGACAGCCTGGCCCCCTTGCCTCTGGTTGACCCAACCTGGAAGGTTCAATTCATACTCCCAAGCTCCCTGTGGGACCAGTCTGAGACAAGACTTCTCCTGAAACTACATCATGGTCCAGCTTCTTCCCTTGCCTGCTTCCTTTAGTTTCTTGACAGCACTACCTCAATAGATCACTTGCCTAAGAATATCTATTTCAAGCTCTGCTTCTAAGGAATCCAACCTGAGACAAACTCATAGCAAAGTCAGACTACACTGAGGGCTTTGTATTTCCACTCACGTTTTTCAGGAATGGCAGTGACAAAAGGTAGAAGAAAGGATAAAAGTAGGGGGTGCTATTCTATAATTTCAGTATTTACAATAGCTGACTAGCAAGCTGCAAAATGAACTTTTAAGTATGGAATAATTTTCAGTAGTTCTTGGCATCAAACCGGTACAATGCCCTTCTCCTAAGAAGTGAATTTTACTCATCATTTTGAAACCAGGCTGTGCATTCTGGCATGGTTTGACATTTGCCCCCTGGTCAGGGTCAGGCATTCTGTGATACCAGACGCCAATTTCAAACATTTGCTGGAGCCGCAAAATGAGCCATTCGTATGACAACAGAAGCCTTAGAAAACACAGGTGAAGCAGGATGCTTGGGCTTCTCTTGGCAATTCTGCAGCAGGGCCAAAGCCAGATGCCAAGCTGTTTATCCGTCTGCTGTTGACTCCACTCTGAATTAGCTAAACAGGGCACAACACCTGTTGATTTAGAGACAGTTTCGAAACGAGTAACTGATCTTTTATGAAGGCCAGACATAAAGTCATAATATCAAGACCACTGATATTAATATTACGTTTTTGGTCTTCAAAGTGTCTTTCTCAGTATCTGCAGAGCAGCATACTTAGGCGTGGCAGTTGTGACTTATATCCTAAAATGCCATTTTGGAGGCAAGCTTCAGAAGGCCTTGCCTTGAGGTAGCAGATGTTTTGAAAAGATAGTCAAATTGATTTTTTCCCCTATTTTATTTTTGGAAATGAAATGACTCAGTGAGGTGGGCTAGTGTGTCTGGAATGTTGAGTGCCAGCAAGGAGATGCAAGAGATGAGGCTGGAGAGAAACAAGGCAGGATAGTGAGGGACTCCGTAAGTATTTTGACCTTATTCTAAACTGAGAGAGAAGCCATTCAAGGGTTTAAGCATTGGAGCTGTGATTGCATTCGCATTTTAGTAAGTAAACTTTCAGATAAATATTATCTCATTGGAACCTCAACATAACTCTAACATAAGAAGGTTTGACATTATTCACTCCATTTTCACATGAGGAAATGGAGGCTCATAGACATTTAGTCACTAGTCTAAAGTCACACAATTATTTGGTGGAGTGAAGACTCAGCCTCTAGTTCTGATTCCAAATCCAGCCATGCAGCTTTCATAAGGGGTCACAGCAAAAATTAAACAAAAGAGAAATTCCAATCCAAGAGGGCAGACCACACACACATGCCCAACTGAATTTGATGAAATACAAGTATAGAATTACAAAAATAGGTCAAGGGAGAGATAAGAGTTGGAGATATTGACGTTTCCTACTGTATCACGTTCTCATACAGAAGCAGTCACGTCGCTGTTACTGCGTGGGAAGGAAAACCAGGTATACTTTTATGCATTGGCAGTTGTCACACCCAGGTGCACACAGACCACAGAACATTTTCCTGAATCTTAGGGAGAAGCCTACGTCATTTTTTAGAAACAGATAAACAGACAATATTCTACTTTATTTCTGACCGCTTTTCCAAGACTAAGACGCTATATGAAACAGAGCGGTGCCCAGAAGTGACTGAAAAGTTTTATTTTCGAACCAGTAGATTTCTGGCCCTTTGCCCTGTCTTTCTAAGGTGAACACTGCATAAAACATTTTCGCAGAGTGGTGTAGTGGGGACAGGCGACTCTAGCCCCTGGATTGGGGGAGGTCAGACTCAAGCCAGGTATCTGGGATAAAGCCTATTGGACTAGACAGCTGGTGGGGGTGTATACGCCCTCAAGTGAGTGCTCAGTGGGTGGGCGGGGAAGTGTTGTGTGGGGTTCTGGTTCTAGAGTTTTCACTTAGAACTAAGGTCCTTAGAATACACAGATGCTTTCCATATTGTCCATGTATAGGGATATGCAGCATTAGTGGGCCATGAGCCCATCCCGGGTGACTCACTGTGTGCCCTGCATTTTCAGCATTTCTGGAGAAGAGAGCAACAATATCAGGAATCCACTGCTTCTGTGACTACTGCCTGGTGACCACATGAGAGGGATTTGCTTTGCTTGCTTTATAGAGAAGCATTTGATGCAGGTATATTGAAGAGCATTCTTGGATTTGTTACCCTGACATAAAGTGCAGTCTATCATAATATGACACTCAATATTAAATGGTATACTACTGCTTGAAATCAGCCCCCACAATTGAAGTGTCAAAGGGAGTGTACAGAACTATACCTAATTTTATACTGTTAAAAACATAAATCGTAGCAGCTAACCTAGTAATGTAGTGGTTAAGTTTGCGTGCTCCACTTGGTGGCCTGGGGTTCAGGGATTCAGATCCCTGGTGCAGACCTATATAGCACTTATTAAACCATGCTGTGGTGGAGTCCCACATACAAAATAGAGGAAGATTGCCACAGAAGTTAACTTAGGGTCAATCTTCCTCATCAAAAAAAAAAAATATATATATACATAAATTGTAGAAGCAACATTAAAGGCTGTATTAAAAGTTATCTCTCAATAGCAGGCTTATTGGTAGCTTATACTTGCTTTTGTATGCTTTTTCTGAATTTTTACAAACATCTACAATGAGCATATTTTACTTTTGTAACCAGAAAAATAAACATTATTTCAGAAATTACAAAGTACTATCAAACAATCCCCCTACCTCTTGGCAACAGGGAGGGGTGGTGATTATTTTTCTTATTTTGGACTTGGATGACGTGTTATATGAATGGGCTAAGTTTAAAGAGGTTAAGAGTCCTCTATGAGACTTCCCAAGCATTGCACTGCAAATCTTCTGATTCAGAGTCTAGTATACTTTCCTTCTGAATGGTGTGCTTCATTTTTTGGCATTTAGAACCAGCACATTCCTTGTCTGTGTTATATCATAAGGTGTTTCTTTCCTTTGTCTCGATCTAGAGTTTGTTGTTTAAAAGTGGCATTCAGGCGGAGAGATAGACAGTCATGCTGCCATCTTTCTCTTGTGGGAACAATGACTTTATTTCTAGAATAGGTTGAAAACAAGAAATTAGCCCCCTCAAATCATAAAAGTAATGAAAAATGTAGTAAACAGCCAAATACTTTAGTTATTTTTTCTAATTAACTATTATTAATTATATTGTGTGTAAATACTTGTCAAAATTTTATGTAGGTATTAAGAATAGGGGCATGGAAACAATAAAACAATGTACAGAGAAGTTTATAATGTATTTAGTAAAGAAAAGAAGGCCATAATGTTAATAAAGATTGAGTTAGACAGGTGGGATTACTAGTGATTTTTAAATCTGATTTTCAATACTTTTAAATATCACTCTTATAGTGAAAAAATTCCCTTCACAATTCGAAAAGGTTAAATACATGGTTATTTTTCTGAAATCCCCGTGACTTTGAACCAAACGGCCTAATCAAGAATATTTTGTGTAGATGAACCAAAGATAACACTGGAAAGGAGAGAATGGTTATCTTACTCTATCTTCATCTGTATACCATCCAAATACAAGATTCATGCTGGGTGCTGGCACGACTCCAAGGATGATGCCTATAGTACATTCACATGGTCAGTTAGGATAATATAGTAACCAGGATGTCAGGAAAACCAACATACTGAACACCCGTCTAAATTATGTAATTCCATTCATGTTCTCTAGAAAAATATATTGCTTGAATTTCATCCTAGGGCAGTAGTTGGTTGCCTACCCAACACCCATTTCCCCCTTCTTCCTTCCTATAAGAAGTATGATTTAATGCAGCTCATTACTATAAGGAGTAGCTGAACCTTTGCCAAGCTCTAGGGGTGAAAATGATTTATTTATTATGTTTATCAACAACTAGTGTAGAAATGGGCCTTTAATACAATTTGGGCTAAAGAGTGTGAAGAAAGTTTGCTGAAGGCTCCTGGACAAGTCCATCTTGCTCTCCAGGGAAACCTGGAAATGATTTCTCCTCTTCTATATGTTGTCCTGCACAGATGTGAGGCGCAGACAGCTGTAGCCTGAACAAGATGCTGAACTACAAGAGTGTAGAAAACTCCTTTAATTAAGTCAAACCTGGTCTTTCAGGTGGGTGAGCCAGTAAACTTTTTAATATTTAAGCCACTTTAAGTTAAATTTTTTTAACTTGATGCTGAAGCCATCCTAACAGGTAGATATATGGTAAAATGTCTGGCATTTTTAATTGTCTGAAGTATAGACTATAATCCTAAGAGCCAGATCAATATGAAAAAATAGTAAATTATTATATTTTTGTTATTTCAAAGATGAATATTTGTAGTCAAGCAGTTACATAAATTGGATTTGAACTTCCAAAATGAGTAGTTCTTTAATAATAATTAATTCTATTTAGAAACTATGTTAATTTTCAGCATATTCCTGTTAATATCTCGTTATTTATCACTGATAGCTCTAAATCACTTTCTTAAAACATATTTAATCATTATTAACTATTAGGCTAGCTTTCTCAGGAGACAAGAAAATTACATATCCCTATGAATCTAAGTAGATTTTTGGTATATCATATAATTCTCAATGTACCATAAATGTATTTTTAACTAAAGCAAAGATTAAAAACACCCTCAGAATCCGGTATAAAGAATGTTCAAAACTTATTTTGTAATAAACCCTTACAAAATTAAAAATACTAAAAGGGGATATGATAGGTCTGGGACAAGCATCTCAGTCATAGGAAACAGATTTTATTTCAATTATTATTTAACAAAAATTAGGCAATGGTAGTTAATACATAGCTGTTTCTACGCAAGGATCAGGAGTCAATACCACTTAGAAATATTAAGCCAACAGAGTGGCTGGAACTAGGTGGCAGTTGCTGATCTCTGAATGTTTGGGTGGTTATGATGCACCATCTATCTCAGGAGATGTATGGGGAACGTCTTCACTGTACTGACATTGGAAGGAAATATTATCATGCTGCCTCTCATCAGGAAAGTGCGGTAGGTGGAAGACAGGTGACAAGCAGGGGATTTAGAGTGGATGACGGACCCATAGCTACCAAAACATCCCTCTGAGGGGAAGCTCCATTATTTATGTCTGTCCGGCACCCTTCTAGTATCTGCTCTTCCCTTTCTTGTTGGGAAACCCATTCCATGTAGTTTGGTTGGTGCTGTACAGAAATGGGCCCAAACCCCAACTGTGCCACAATCCTCACAGGACCATTTCTAGTCATGACATGTTGAAGTGGGCTGCCCTTGGTCTTTTCTGTGACCATCGTAGAATTTTAGAAATAGAAATAATTTTTACTTCTGTGATTCATAACTTATCCTCCATTTATAATAAAATATAGATATTTCCCCACAATTTGAAAAATCAATAGAATTGTTTATGTTTTTAGACTATAAGAGAATATTTTCTGTCTCATCCGGGGAGGGAAAGAAATAATAGGTTTCTTCTCGATAGAGCTAAAAATAAAACAGCATAGGCATTTATCCCTAATGGTTATTTTTCTTGATGTGAGAACAGGACTGAAAGAATTCAGGGGCAACATCCATTCCTTGTGAGACATGTTTTCCTCTCACCAGCCATTTTACAAACATCTCTGGAAGTGAAATTTCTGTGATTCAAAATGGCCACTTTTTTCTCTCTTAAATAAAGTACCATTAAAATATCAGTAAGTTCTACCTAAGGAATCAAAACTCCAACAGCCAGTGTGCTCCATACTATGAGCTGTGTACATTATTCCACTTGTAAGTAGGCTTGAAACAGTTAGACACAGAAATATTAATGCCCTGTTGTGGACTGGACAATGCCTCCTTACGTCATATTGGGTATAAAAAGCCCCCAACGCCTGTTCAGTGAGAGAGACTTCTGGTAACATTCAACATAAAAGGTTTTCTTTTCCTACAAAAAACAGAATTGGAAATAAAATATATACAGGGATAAAGAAGCCATTTCTAGCTCAAAATACAGTTCTGTTGGGGAATGTTACGTCTGAGGAATTGACCTCTGTTTTACTTGGTCTTGAAGAAATTACTCAGGATTGTTCTGGAGTTGTAGTGATTATTGCACTTTTTGGACAAGCAGGTACCACATTCCTAGCATCTTTAGCATAGTTGGTGGTAGGGTGGAGGATAGGAAAGTATTGAAAATCTGAAGACAGGATCTTTACTCCAACCAGGTGGTATCGTGATCAGCAGGAAGCCTTGTGGAGATCTGAGGACCCAGGAAGCTTATATTTCCTGCTCTGCCTCCCCTTACTTCATGCAACATGTTCATATATCCTTTATTTCCAGTAAAATAACTTGTTTTCTTCTGTTTCTGTTTCAAAGGCATTGCCTTTGTGACAACAGTCCACTAGGTGGGTAATACTGCCACAAGACATTTGGCAGGAAGCATTTTAGAAAAGCATGAGCTTCCTTAGTCTTAAGAATTGTACGTCTGTGCTGGAGACATTAAGAGCAGTCATGGCAAAGACATAGAGATGTGATTAAGGACGTTCTCTGAAGCGGCCCTGTTGATCTACTGCAAAAAGAATTTAGTAAAGAAGACTCGCTGCAAGGAAGTCACTATTCTGACACTGGGCATGGGACGTGAACCAACTTAGGACGCTAGGGGAGGGTTAATGATGAAAAGGCCACGCCAGAGGGAGAGTTGAGTCAGGTGTTTTTTATCAGATTTCACTGATTCCAAGATGCACATTTTTTCATACTTTGATACTTCTGAAAATGGGATGTGTCTTACAAACAAGGGCATGCCATCTTTAATTGGCAGTGTTTTTTCATTCTCAGCAGAAAATAAAAAAAATAATACGTTTTGTAACCATGGGCATTTTAAAAATATGTAGCTACCTAATGAGACAGGCTTGGACTAACAACTCCACACTAACTTAAGCTATGGCACCAAAGTTGTCTCATGCAAAATGTTTCATAAACTGTGTAGCATATAGGTTGAAGGTTGAGTCACTCTAAATAATCATTTGTGTACTTTCTATAATGCCCAAATTTAGGGACACATTCTTGATATTGCTATTCTTCTCATTAGGCTGCTCTCTCTACAGTGCCAGGGATCATGTGCATTCCGTTCACCATCGCATTTCCGGCACTGACTTTACCGAAGTTCTCCATTGCTTGGGGATCCCTATTTGAATCATCTTTGGTACCACACCAGAGATACTGAGCCTATGCTCTAGCTAGCTTTCTTTGCATAAAAAATACTGTTTTGGTCACAGTTTCCATAATTATCATTAAAGCAAACCATGCAAAAATTTTTGCTGAGGCAGAGATTTAACATTATTTTCACAAAACAGTTACCTTAAAATACATGTTAAGAACAAAATTCATTTTCTCAATTAATAATCGAAGGAAGAGTTGTAAAGGAATGGAGAAATTATTATATAAGCTATAAAGCAATTTTATTACAATAAAGGTATTTGAAAGTTTCAACGAATTAAATGTCATAGTCATCTAATGATTAAAAATGTTCTTTTATAAATAATCATGGCTTTTGACTGTTAAATGTGTGAGGTATATAATAGAGTTATGTACTACACATGCAACACACATATTTAATACTAAAAAACTGTCCATTTTAGAAATAAATGATAGCTACACAAAATTAATTTTGTTTTTTCCTGCTTATAGTAATTTTCTAAAATACAATTCTGACGATATAAGGTTAATTAAAATATAAGCAAGCTGTGTATATTGTATCTACACACATTGTTGGTGCAATATCAGTTATTAAGCTATTACGGCCTCATAAGGATCTGACATTTACAGTTTTTCACTTTTTATCACCTCATCGTTAGATCCTGATCTCTGTAGCATGTTAGTTTTAATGAAAAATAAAGATAATATAATAAAATATGGGAACTTACTATTTGCCTTAGAAACTATAAATATTAATCTAAGAATATAAAGTTAGGCTCCTCGTGAAGATTGCCGTAATGATGAAAGGTTCTGGTATTATAAAAAAGTTATGAGAAGGGAGCTCTCAGATCACTGAAAAGGGCAGTGCTGGGTCTTCCTGAGCCTTTTGGGGCACTTTTCTCTTTCTCACTTTCAGATGGATTCCTTTATCTCACACTCACTCTTTTATGACCATCTTTGTCTATTCCTGTTTCTCTCATCTCATTCCCTTATCTTACCTCTGTTCAGCCTTGCTTAGTCTCCCTCATCAAATCCAGTCTCCATGCTGGTGAACGGATGGAGGCCGTGAGCTCTATGAGGTCAGAGAACATGTCATTTGCTAATTATCCACTTGACCGGGGTGTCTATTTCATCACTGACACATGGCAGGCACCCAAAATTGCTTGATGACTAAAAACTTTTGAGTCTGGGGTAGATCCAAAGAGGACACTATCTTTCAGAATTTGAGGCCAAGTCCAGTGTTTATGACATTAAATAATGCTCATTTGGTTACTGCTTTTATTTTACCATTGCTACGCAATGGTTCTATTAGATGTGAGTTGATTGCTTGAAACATAGATTGTGTTGTTTTGAGTTTCCTTTTTAGTCCTCTAGATAAGCTAATCAAGCATTGCCACTCCCTTTCTACGAAGGTGTGAGTGTATGATAGCTTGAGACCCATGAGTTATTACAGGTTAGAGAGGCTCCCCAACACTAGCGTAGAATTTGACAGTCATGCGGGTGGAATTTTCAGTGTCACTGAACATCTGATGATCTTATTGTAATCCTAGGCACAGATTAGAAATGTTTGTTTTGCTCAGGCAAATAGGATTCACTTTCTTAAACAGGCTGCAATTTTTGAGAAAAGTACCATAAATTCGGAAATGGAAATAACAAGAACAACAATAATAATAAAGCCAGAACTTTACTCATCATATCTCTTCCTTTTCATGTCTTGAGTATTATAAAAAATTGTTACCACATCACGTATTGACTTAGCAAATGGGAACCTATTATTATAACATGTACTTTATAATATGCTAAATGGTTTACTTAGCAAAATAAAATAAAAATAGGGTACACTTTAACATTTCTCAATTATATTTGTATTTCATTGACATCGTCTTTCTCATCAGTAAAAACAAAAATAACGATGAAAATCATGCAGTGTTTTTATGTTCACAAGTGTTTCAAATCATACTGCTAAAAGGGTAACTAAATTTACACTAATAAAATTGCTTTAAGCAGAATATGCTCCTTTTCTTGGCTCTATCAAAAGATCTGTGCTTATATCAGCACCACGGGGACATGGAGTGGGAAAAGAATCAGAAGGAAAAATTCCTTTGGCAGATTACTTTTTATTTCCAGTTTTCTTGGGTCTCACAGACTATTTCCAGTAATATTACAGTTTACTGATTAAGCAAGCTAACTTTGGGGTTGCTTCCTAGCTCCCTCCCTTTCTAATTGGGGGAACTTTCTGGGCCTCATGCTCTTCATTCTTACAGTGGGAATTATAATAACAGCAATAACGATAATAATAATGTCTATTTTGTAGGGTTGTTGTGAAGCTGAAAGGAGTTAATATATGTAAAACTTCCTCACCAATGCCCATAACACTCAATTAGAACCTGGAGCATAATAAGCATCAATAAGTCTTAGCTAATTATTACTATTATCATTATTATTATTATTCCCCAAAACATTTTCCACTGGCATTTCTATAGACTTTAGTTGCTTTCTAAAAAATAAAATTAGTTCTTTAAAATCAAATCATCCTTTTGGTATTCTTTCATTTAAAAAATTAATATTCTTATGTGACATTATATGACTCATTTATTTATGTTGGGAGATCAATTTGGGCTAAATTAGATGTATTCGATTTAATATTCATGAATGAAAGTGATTTAAGTTTCTAAGTTCTCACTGCAGTCAGAAAAAGCTCCTGAACAATTAACCTAGATTCATATAATTTGCAGGTTTTTGCTTTTTCTGATGTTGGTCTTTTTGCTGAACCCACAAAAATGTCCTTTTTTTATATGCTTCTATTTCATTTCACTATTCTTTTGCTTTCAGGTGGAGACCAGTTCAAATGAAAACACTTAATACTATGCAAATACCTTTCAGGTGGCAAAAAGAAAGGAAGAAAACTAACATTGACGCCAATGTTACCTATATTCTTTTTTGACATCTTGAGGCAGACACTATCTTTATTTTACAGAGGAAGTATCTGAGGTGCTAAGGTAACACAAATAATAAATGGTAGAGTTCGGCTGGAATTGGGGTCATCTGATTCCAAGAGAGTGCACATTTCTCAAGTCATGGTACACAGTTCCCAGGCATAGACAAAGGTTTATCCAGGGGAACTCCAGAGGACTTTCCTTTGGTCAGAAATAAATTCAAAAGCTTACTTTTTTGACTGCTTTATGTTGAGAAATAGCCTTCAACCATCTTAGATGAATTTGCACCTTGGCAAGTATCTGAAAATGTGTGTATTTGTGTGTGGGTAAGAGAGCAAAGCATCGTTGCTGACATACTTTGATAGACTAAAACACTTGGATCACACCTCCCATTGTTCCTACCCACGTGGCCCTTGGCAGGACTGAATCTGCAATCCTGTGATCTGAAAATGGCCCTGAACATGTTGTGGTCTAATGTTTTCCCCTCAGGTGGAGGCAGCCTGATCTACCCACATAAAGGAAGCAGAAGATTAAATAATTATCTTCAAAATTTGATTTATGTGGAAAATCAACAGGAAAAATGTTAGAATCTCAAGCTATTTTTTTTCAATTGTGCGTGTTTAAACCTTAAGGAAGTAAATATTTTCTTAGTCCTCTGTGTGATTTTGACAGCAAGATTGAAGAGGACACAGTAAAAATGATTCTAAGGGGCATTTTCAGAACAAAAGATATGAGTGTGGCCCACACAACCAAGGAGGTCTTCAGCCTGAGACAGACAGTAAGAGTTACGGAGCACAGGCATCGGCCTCGGGGCTATATTCTCGTGTCCTCTGGCTCAGAGCCCCACTCTCAGTTGCTGAACCAACTCTCTCCCTCCTCACCAGTCCCCACCCAGAAGAGCTCACAAGTGTTCCACTGTGTCTGTCTACACAGCTGACTGCTCCATCTTTAAGGCCTTGCGTGGAGCTGCACACTACCTCCAGTCACGGGTTTGTTTCTAAGGCTGTTCATGTTTTGAAGGCCCTGATGCAGTCTTCACTCAAAATACCTTTGTTCTGTTAACCCAAGTGTACTCTTCCATGGGCCTCTCCCTCCTGGTCAATGTCCTTGCTCCTACTTCCTTGGGGGCTTCCACTCCCTGCTGCATTCTCTACCTACTCTAGCGTGGCTCATTCTAGGCTGGGGACAGGATGACATCCACAGGTCATTGCTTTGGAGTAATTTAAGTTTCTTGGTCTTTATTCTTTCTAGAAAATGAGACCATTGGCTTTAACCACCAGGTGTGTCAGAGGCAGAGCCGGTGTAGGACACAGGCAAAGGATGGGGGTTAGGTGTAATGAGAGGAAGGAGGGTGTGTACATATGTGTATAGCCACAATCAATAGCTGTTTTTGAAAGTCTGATCTAGAGCTAAAATGGTAGCCAGTAGCCTCAAACTCCTTCCCTTTAGCCTAAAGCCTGTGGTCTCTCTTTTGCCCACGTATCTCTAAAAACAACTTAAAAAAAAGTATATTTGTAACTTTTCATAATCAACTGAAAAATTTTTGAAATAGTTATAAAGTATGTAATTATCAATATATTGCAAATGTTGATAATAAGAAATAAAATTTTCTATAACTCTTTTAAATATGTTCAAAACAATACAAATTACAAGTAGTTTGGTGACCATCTACATATTTTATGTATAAATATTTAAGATCTAATGTAACAGTTGGAAATTGCACATTGTTCTTTTTCCTCCTTGAACTTGTACTTTCATTCCACTTTCTGCAAAGAATTTTATTCTAATGTAATATACCTTTATGCTTGATAGACTTTTATTGATCACCCTATCATATTTCCTACAACAAAAATCATTTATAAATTGAATTTTTTCCCCATATAACCAAAGATCTTAACTGTTAAATTGTTTTTCTCCCTTGAGTTATCATTATAAATATTAACAAACAATTCGTCAAAACAATATAAACATATTACAAATTTTCACATGTAATTATTAAATGTAAAATGTCAAATTATGTAGATGGGTGGGAGGGTGGATTACGATGCCTTGATTAAAGCAATAGTAAAGTCGTTCCTTTGCTGCTATGGAAGATTTATACTTTGGGAGGGGATGAGACATAAGAGGGCTGTGACTTTCTTTTGTCACATGGAAAGCTGGTGAGTGTGAGAGGGAACAGGGAAAGGAGAACCTGAACTCCGATAGCTCCACAGGCAGATTAAGTTTACACAGAATATATACAGAAATTGGGAATCTCGAAATTATTTCTTTAAAATTCCTACCCTTTCAAAATAGTGTCTCCCATTTAAAGAGCCCTGCTGTATGTTGTAGTTCTTTTGTTAGTTTTGCTTGTTCTTTCTCTATGTTGCAAGCAAAGAAGCTCCACTTGAGTCCCACCCCACCATCAAGAATAGAAACGGTATTCTTCTTCTGACTACATACTGGCTGAGAGAGCTTCTGTCTTCCCCCATGGCGGTTCCCGGCCATTCCCCATGCATTCTCCAGAGTCCTCTAACTCTCGTCTTTCCTCTCTGAGGAACTTTGCCACGTAAGCTATGACTGTGCATTCATTAAGGTTAAGGTTACAAATATGAAAACTTCTACTGCATATATGACATTCTGAAAGATTTTGTAAAATTAAGTAGATGTAACCCAGTCCTCAAAAAGCTTCAAAATAGTAGGAGAAATAAAATATGTATACATGTCATTAGGCAGAGAGGAGAAGGTAAGGTGTTATAGATGGAGGAGACAACATGGAGATGGCACAGAATGTCAAAGCACAAGTGTAATCAAAGAATGGACACATGTTCAATTTGCCTGGAACATAGGGTAAATTTAAGAACAGAATTTCCCAAAGCATGTGCAGAGAACACGTTAGAAAGAATTTTTGAAAAAGAGAGAGAGAGTGACAGCATTAGTTTTGTTTGAGTGTATTAGTTTTGACGTCAAGTATGTAAAGAAAATGCTAGTATGCTGGACTAAAAGAAAATAAACTGGTTTCTTTATTATAGAATTTATTAATTCCTTCCTAAGTTTATTACGTTAGAGAAAGCCAGGGGAGGTGTTATCATGCAATTCTTCCCAACTCATTTATTTTCCTTTTTGAAAGTTACCTAACCAAACAAGTGTATGAGGAACAGGCTTTGGAAAGAATTGTTTTAGGAAATAGTAAGAGGTAAGGAAGGAAAGACATTCTGGGTTCAGATGCCAAAGCTATAACATCTAGAATTCATTTGGTAGGCAGTGAAAGTAATTGATGGCTTTGGCAAGGTTGCTCATGAGCACAGTTGAGCTCTCGGATGGATGACCTTGTGGCCCATGTGAGGTCAAGAACTGGCAGGGGGAGCAGAGGAAAAAGATGTTAAGGCAGGAAGACTCAGTAAACTGAACAAGAGGAAATGTAAATCTACACTTGGGTAGTTTAAGGGTACTTAAAGTGGGAACTGAAAGGAATATATTTATATAAGACCATTTGCAGAAGTTGAAACTTTTGGTTAACTGGATGTTGAGGCTGTTTTTTTTTTTACATTTACTTTTATACTTGTGATGCTAAACAATAAATTTAATTTTCTTTTCCTTTTGAGTTTGTAGTCAAATAATACAAAACTTCTCATCTAAAAGATATAAAACATCTGTATAAAAAAGGACTATCTGTTTAATTTCTTTGACACTTCCAATATTAATTTTTTTTCACAAAGTAGAGGAAACATCTCTGGGTATTTATCTAAGGTTTATAATTTTCATACAGATATGGTGTATGGGATAGCGTCATAGTTTCAATACTGAAAAATAATTCTTGTAAATTATAAAGAATTCACACGTATAATATGGCAATATCATTTCAACAATTCAGTTTTACAAACTAAAATAAGAGAAAAAAGTAGTCAATTTAAATCAAAAGTTTAATGTTTTAGGTGGTTTGCCCCATCACCCACTTGCTTACTCTAGTTGCCTTGGAGTATTTTTAGGTTTGATAAGATACTCTCTTCGTGTGTGTCACAGGATATCTACTCTGGTATTGTAGGTTCACATTCTTCAGCACATTGTTTGTGTAATGATTTAGCACAAATTATGGCTTTATACATATCAATATAAGTCAGAACGACTACTCCAACTATACCAATCAGATAGAATAAAGCAATCTTTAATTGAATTTCATTGTAAAGGACCAGCAAGCCAAAGTTGCAACCATCTTCAGATTAAAAAATAAAATAGTTAAGCAAGTATAACAACTTGACAGAATGCAGTATTTTGACAGCTAATGATCTGACCAATCTTGCTGAGGCTTGATATGACATTTTGAAAGAAAACAACCTAACCTACTTATGACTAACGCATAACAAGGACTCCTGACAATTAACAGGTTTTTTTCCTGTGATGAACTGATATTGGGTAAGAAATGATATGATGCTTAAATAAATTATCTTAAAAGGAAATTCAGGTCAATAATAATCATAACATAATAAATATCAATGGCCCCCATTTATGAATATTAACTATATGACAGTAGCTTCATATACAATTGCTTAATCCTCAGCTAGTTTTTCGTGGTAGGAATTATCATCCCATTTAGAGGTAGCAAAACAGGCTCAAACAAGTTAAGTGACTTCCCAAACATCCCACAATAGGTAGACTTTCTAATATTCTGTACTACTTTCCACAAACTGCAAGTCACCATTGGTTTTGATCTTGGAGAATATGTAAGTTCTGGTGTAAGGTTAATGGATAATGCTTTTATTTCAGTTTAAATTTTTCATAAGAGATGGTGAAAAATTTCCTTACACTAGACTGTGTCCTTGTGTTTCTCAGACTTTCGTGTTTCATAAAAATTTAATTGACTCAATTGTCTACGGACTCAGTGGAAATCTGCTTTTCTTAGACTGAAAAAAGGAATGATCTTGATTTGGCTGATTCACACAAAATTTAAATATTTTAAAATATCTATCTTCTATCTATCTATTTATCTACCTATCTATCTAATCATCTATGTATCATCTATCTATCTACCATCTATCTATCTATGCAAAAAAATCTGGCTTTAGATTTCAAGGATTTTTTCTATAGCATAATTTTGTAACTTCTGAGCATTGTCAAAGCACTTTGGTGCAAAAGAGCCCAATATAGGGAAAGAAAAGTAAAACTTCAAGCAATTGTACTTAGAACAGTGTGTAGGCAGTTACTGGCTGATTGACAAGAATTATATTTCTGAAGATTCTTT